TGCAAATTGAGCAATCTCCTACCCATCATATCCCACACGTGCTCAATTGGGGAAAAGTCGGGAGATCTTGGTGGCCACGGTAACAATGTGACATCATTATGTTGCAAGAAGTCTATTGTGACTCTTGCAACATGTGGTCGGGCATTATCTTGTTGGAAAGTTGGATCTGCCAGGGTCTCAAGATAGGGTAAAAGATGGGGTTCTAGAACTTCGTGGATATAACGCTGCGCGTTCATGTTACCTCTGATGAAGATTAAAGGTGACATGGAACCATAACTCCAACAGTGTGACGAACATGTCTTTCAACAAAAAACTGTGGATTCCTCCTTTCACCACGTCGCCTTCTAACTCTGGCACGACCATCGTGCATGCCTAAACAAAATCGAGACTCGTCACTAAAGACAATACTGTTCCATTCCTGATCCCAGAGTGACCGTTGTCTGCACCACTCAAGGCGATTACGTCGGTGTTCTCGAGTTAAAGGGAGGACCCAGTGTGGCCGGTATGAAAACAAGCCAAAACTTCTCATTCGTCGGTAAACACTTCGCATGCCAATAGGTCTTCCGTGTTCTGCAAACCATTCATTTGCAATGGACCTGGTAATGGAGAAACGGTCCCTTAAGGCCAATAATCTTAGGCGGCGATCTTCACGGTCTGTTGTTCTACGGCGGCGTCCAGTGCCCCTTGCTCTTTGCGTACGGCCTTCTCGAGGCCATGCCTGACAACACCTAACCACAGTGTCTACACTTCTTTGCACTCTAACTGCAATTGCCCGAAAAAAAGTCCAGCTTCCCGAAGTCCCACTATACGGCCCCTATCAAACTCACTAAGTTGACGAAATCGTACAGGTCTCCGTACTCTAGGCATCATAACCGATCGTAAAGGATGTCAAGAACCAAAATCCGCCAACGTTGATTCTTTACTGCGGCTGAAATATTCATTTTTAGAGCGTTAGTGAATTAAAAAAACGCAGTATAAAAACCGGAATGTCCAACTGATAAGGCTGAAAATTTTTTCACTTGTTATTTACAGTAAGATAAATACATTCACCAACTTTTATTAAAATAAAACCATTTAAACTGGGTGTTCGGATTTATATGTCACTTAGTATATGTCTTACCGAAACACATGCTACAGAAGACATCACTGATGGTGAATTACAAATTACTAATTATAAAACCTACAGATGCAACTCCAACTCCAGACATACTGGAGGTGTAGTGATGTATGTTTACCACAAAATACAGATTAGATTATTCTATTGTACCACTTTAGACTATGCATACTGGTATGCACATATACAGTTCAAATTATTTGGGAAACGTTATGATCTTTGTACTTTTTACCGATCACCAAACAGTGATGCGGATACAATTATAACGTTTTTTGAAGAAAAATGCGAAGAAATGTGGAATTTTAGAAACAATATAATACTTTTAGGTGATTTTAATTTAAATTATTATGGTAAAAGCATGAAAACAAGAAAATTGAAAGAAACCATAAACAACTATGGGTTCAAGCAAAAAATTGAAGAGAGTACCAGAATAACATCATTATCAGAGATTTTGTTAGATCTTGTTATTGTAAATTTCGAATGTGCAGGGATTAAAGCTGTACATACACCTAAAGTTAGCGATCACAGTTGGACAATGCTGCCGTTGGTAGGGCATTTTTCTGTTACAAAAATTAAGAAAATCGTAAATACTATTAAGTACGAAAAACTTGAACGAGAACTTGCTGGCTGCTATTGGAATTTTGGTGAGAATATGGAAAAAATATATGACAACATAATAGGAAATATAAAAACTTGTTTAGATCTTGCAACTGATAAAAAAGTGATTTGCTCGACAAAAAATACACCCTGGTATAACAAGAATATTAAGGCAGCCCAAAATTTGAGAGACAAACAATAAAATAAATGTATATTCACAAAATCAAATGATGACTGGGAGGTATATAAAACTCTTAGGAATAAATTTGTATATGTAATTAGAGAAGAAAAAAGGAAATTCTACGATAAACAAATCGATAATAACAAGTGCGACAGTGTAAAGATGTGGAAGACTTTAAAAAGACTGATCAATTCGAAGCCGCATGATTGTGTAAATCAAGTTCAATTCGAAAACGGTACCGAAACAAATTCTTTGGTGATTGCAAACAAACTAAATGAATATTTTGTGGAAAGTATTGTTGATATTGTGGGTACTGCCAATGCTGCACCTGACTATATCAAAATCAGTTTCCAGGGGAAATGTTGCATAGACTTTCAAAATTTCACAGCGTATCATTGAATTATCTAAGAAAAAAAGTAAACAGTTTAAAATCAAATAACAACTGTGCCGAAATCACTACTAAAAACGTGCTGAAAAACTGTTTCGAAATTTTTGGATATCCTGTATTAAATTGGATCAATTGTTCACTGAGAAGCAGTTCTTTTCCTGAAAATTTGAAATGCTGTACAATAACACCAGTTCCCAAAATAAAAAATTCTAAAAGATGCAGCGATATGAGACCAGTAAATGTGTTACCAGACATTGAAAAATTATTAGAGTCCATAGTGCATGACCAATTAATGCAGTTTATAGAAGAAAACAAAATTTTAGTGGAGGCGCAAGCAGGCTTTCGAAAAAAATATTCCATAGAAACGGCTTTCCAGTTGGTAACTGAGAATTGGAGAAGAGCCATAGACTCAGAAGAAGTTGTCATAGCAGTATTTTTGGATTTGAAGAGGGCATTTGAAACGATTGATAGAGATATTTTGTTAGGTAAATTGAAGGCATATGGTATAACAGGAAGTGTTTTAGATTGGTTTAGAAATTATTTGTCTAAAAGGATGCAAGTTACAAAAGTTAATGACACTATTTCATCAAAAATTGAAAATACGTTGGGTGTTCCACAGGGCAGTATCCTGGGACCACTTCTTTTTATTTTATATATAAATGATTTACCTGCCACAGTCAAAAAATGCAAAATTCAGATTTTCGCCGATGACACTATGATTTATATAAGTACTAAAAATATTCAGTCTGGTATCTCTTATATAAATGAAGACTTGAAGCTTGTCTCAAAATGGTTAGCATCTAACAGACTAAAATTAAATGCAAGTAAAACGAAAGCCTTGTTAATCGGAAAAAAACAATGTACAAATGTTCAACTGAATATTGATGGTGAAGATATTGAATTCGTAGAAAATTTTAAATACCTGGGGGTTTTTGTTGACTCTCGATTAATTTTTGATATTCATTATGAAAAAGTTATAAATAAGATTAGCAGTAAAGTGGGATATTTATCGAGAGTTTCTGGATGTCCGAGTTCATATAGCAGAAAAATTATCTATAATACCATCATTCTTCCAAATTTCTTGTACTGTTCGACTATTCTATATTTAGCAAATAATTCCATTTTTGAAAGACTGCAAATTTTACAAAATAAGTGCATGAGAATAATACTAAATAAATATAAATATACTCCAATTAGGCAAATGCTTAGCAAATTAAAACGGCTTAATGCTAAAATTTTATCAAATATCTTGTAATGATATTCATTTATAAAGTAAAAAATAATATATTTCCATCAAGTCTAACTAATTTAACATAATCAAATGTCGACCATCATTTACATAATACCAGAAATAAAGATAACTTCCATTTAATGACCAAAAAGTATAACATATGCTACAAATCTGTATTCCATCAAGGGTTGATTGAATATAATAAATTATACTCGGAGATAAAAGACCAGAATACTTTGACAAAATTTAAAGTAAAATTGAGAAATCACTTGTTAAATCTACAATTATAGGTTGCCCAGCATTTACATCATACACCATATGGCTTGAATTTACTAGTTATAAGTTGTTTACAATTAGTCTGTTTATGTAGCCAAATGTGCTAAATAAATCTTACTACTACTACTACCACTACCTGATTATTTCCTTATAATTTTGATCCAACAACAAATTGATGGAATTGATGGCCAACAACGGAAATGCATCAATGAATTTGGGACTGAAAAGTCCATTTAAACCTACAAAATTCCAATATAGCATCCATATGATAAAAACAAAGTTGGTGATGGAGGTCGATAGAAGAAATGTCGAAATGAAAATTTTATGTATCCCATTATGTAGAGGACAATAACTGACAATGACAACTTGCCATTTATTTTGAAATCTCATCTCAAATAAAGTCAGGAAAAAATGTCACTTATGACGTATTATACATTTTTGGAATCATAATTAAAAACTCTACTGATTTGTGCATAAATCCAATATGGTGTCCATAGAAAAAATATTTATTTATTTATTGTTTGCTTGTTTTAGATTTATTTAGCATTAATGCTACAATATCCATAATATCCATGTTACACAGTATATACCATAATATATTATGTCTTCAAAACTACATATTTTTATACAAAACTTCACTACTATGAATTCTGGTTTTCCACGAGATATTTTTCAATTTCCCCTTGAACATTTTCTAACTGGTATTACTTAATTTATTAAATTCGTACAATCCCTTCTGTAAATACTGACTTGCTCGCTATATTGCTACTGCAATTTTGTAAATGAAAGTCTTTTAGAATAACTGTGGTACTCATTGGTCAATACAATAAAATCTTCTAAGTGATTTGGTAGAAGATGAATTTTTAAGTTGAATATGAAAATGAAAACCAAGTACAATATGAAATTTAACCATTTTAGTTCTTTCAGCATAAAATTTATTCTAGTATATTTATTTTTATTTAAGATGATTCTCATACCTTTATTTTGTAATATTTGTAATTTTGAAAATACAGCTTCCAGTGAACAAAATAGTCGAACAGTATAACAAATGAGGAAGAATGATAGTGTTGTACACATTTTTGTTTTAGAATAAACGCTTAGGATATTAAATAATTCGATTGAGCTACCAAATTATGTTAACAACTTTATTTGTAGATATATTTACAGGTCTGTAACAAAAAATAAATCAAAAAGTTTTCCAAAAATGCGTATGGTAGGATCCGGAACTTTTCGACATGCTAAAGAACAATACTTAAATAACCCAAACTCAAATTTTCATCCATTATAGAATTTATGTTAGGTCAAAAGTGTTCATTTACTGAGCTAAATGCCAATTTCAATGGTAAAAAGGAGTTATGCTACGCCTGAGGAACGTGACTAATGACAGCCTCCCATGATTTCCAAATATCATTTATTACTCACCGTTGATAAACATCGTCATCGTCGTCATCCCAATAATCATCTGAGCCGTCAGTCAGCTCAATGTCAGTGCCATTACCGTCATCGCTTTCCTCCTCGTCGCTAACTTCTATCGGTTCTGAAGGTGCCAAGGCAGTCGGATTACCAGCTGCTGGCCCTGAGCCTGAAGTATACGCACTGTTTATTATTATATGATTGAGTCTTTTCTCACAAGTACAAAACAAATGCAATGAAAATTCGGAAAGCAAAGGGACCATCGTCATCGAGGGCAACTAACCAGACTCGGCTCTTTGATACAAATACAAGCGCTCTCACCAAAGCGACGGCAAAACGGTCAGTTACTAGGGCTGCCGTCGCTAGTCGGTTCGAAGATGTCCACCAGTTGATGAATGGTGTCATCCAAGGATATCAACACTTCTGCGTTGTGAATGTATCTCAAAAAAATCAATGATATGTAATCGGAAAAAATTACTTCATCGCATTTATGTGTTGTTTTACGTGATTTTGTTAGAGCAGTAGAGTTGAAAACCTTCCAGGAAAGTTGATACAAAAAATGACGCAAGCAAGTTAACAATGTACAAAACATTATCGGACACAAGAAACATTTGAATACAAGTGTTTCATTCCACGGATCCTTAACCGTACATAGATTTTTTATGTATTGTGAATTTTGGTACATTAAAACAATAATTTTTAAGACGATTTGCAACGATCAGATTCAGTTGAACTACGACAGATTAATTAGTAACGTAGGCATGTATAACATATCGAATTGGAACTATTTCTAATTAGTCTAATCAAATTAGCAAATTTCCCCGAAATAATTGTAAAGTCTGGTTGAAGTGGTGCAAGTTGTTCAAGGGGTTATTTGAAACATGGGCGCATAAAATCTGTACAACAATTTTTGTGGGAAAATTTTTTATTCCACAACAATGGAGTGTTGACAGGGAACAAAAAACTTTTCAAATAAGATTTTTAGGTATTTATGAGACCTACAAAATGAGACCACACGTAAAAAGATCCGACTAATAGCAAAAATGTTATGGCCGAAAAACCAGGCAAAATGCAGGTTTCGGCACTTGGTAATGCGACGATAATTTCACATAACTACTTGAAATTCTTCAAATCCGTAGGATTCTTGCTTCCAAATAACAACAACAAAATTGGAGTATATTTGTCAAGTAGTTTTTGAGAATTTCCAATTGTTTATGCCACAACACCTGTTTTCCGGCCATCACTACTAGTTTATTGAGCAATATACAGAGTTCCTTCAAAGAGCATTTAATAGCAAAATAAACGTGTTTACCTTGCCGATATGAATCACAAACCATTCCGAAAGATAAATGTTTCTTTTATGCGAAACACAAAGGTTACGTTTTTTCTTCTGAACAAATTCAGAAATTTCGTATTTGTGATTAATTGAACAAATGCGCTACGATATTCGAAAAACATACCTGTACGTTACTACACATCTTAAAGCAAAGCAGATGTGCCTATCATCTTTTGTTGCGAATTACTCACAAATACGAAATGTGTGAATTTGTAGAAGAAAAAACGAAACCTTTTCTGCACAAAAATAACATTTATCTTCCGGAATGGTTTGCGATTCATATCGGCAAGGTGAACTAGTGTATTGTGCTATAAAATGCCGTTTGAACTAACCCTGTATATTGCTCAACAAACGAGTGTGATGGCCGGACGGCAGGTGTTTTGGGATAAACAGTTAGGAATTGTCAAAAAACTACTTGACCAACAAGTGACAAAACCTGCATTTTGCCTCGTTTTTCGAATATGACATTTTTGCTATTAGTCGGATCTTTTTACGTGTGGTCTCACTTTGTAGGTCTCATAAATACCTAAAAATCTTACTTGAAAAGTTTTTTCGTTCGTCTCAACACTTTCGATTGAATTCCAAAAAAACTCGTTTTCTCATTCTTTGTTGTCGAATAAAAAGTTTTCCCACATAAAGGGTGTACCCATATTATGCGTCCATGCTTTAAATACCTCCTTGAACAATTGCAGCAATAAAACCGGACTTTACAATTATTCGAAAACCAGGGTATTTTCGTCTATGATTAGACTAAATCTGTAATGCTCAGATTTTTTTTTGGAATCTGCATTTTATGTGGGAATCTATCAATATAACATCATTATGTGAGTCGTTACATGATATTCAACATAAATTAAGGTGATTATTTAGCTTCCAAATCGATTTCTGATTTGAGTAAAAGATGTTGAGTGACAACACGGTTCGCTATGGCCACAGCTTAAATAACAATCAGCTATGAAACTCTCCTGTCAGTGTCAAGAACGGCCGCCATTTCGGCGGAGAAAGTCAAATGTAATTCCCCCAGCACAACGATGAAAGAATTTTTAGTGCTCAGCAGCACCGGGTACACTATATCATATCAAAATATATCATTTTAAGGTTGCAAAAAAATATGTGCGGCCTCTGCCTTGATAAAAACCTATTACATCGTTGTACTGGGACGATTCTCCGCCGAAATGGCGGCCGTTTTTGACACTGACAGGAGAGTTTCATGGCTGATTGTTACCTAAGCTAAGATATGGCACTGTTCACGAGTATCCATTACGTTTTGACGTCTAGTGAGGTGAACAGCTGATCAACAAGTGACATCTTTGTATTAAATTCTGTAGTGTTGGCAATAATGAATCGAATAAAACTCTAACCACATTCAGAACTGTTGGTACCGAACATAGTTAAAAACTGTTTTCTTGTTTTATTCCTACCTGTCTTGAAATGTAGTCATGATCATTAGCATCCATTTTGCTTGTGCTTTTGTATGAAGGAACGGTTCTAAATGAAAGCGTTGATAAGGAGTTTGAATCCTTAGCGTACAAAAGACCACCACCAAATACGACTTTGCCTCCAGATCTACCGTTGACAGATCCGTCAAAATTGTGTCACTTCTCTATATGGGGGTATTTAGAAATGATACTATATAATCAGCTGTTATTTGTCGTCACACTTGACGTAAGGGATACTCGTGAAAAAGACTCTACCAATTCTCTGTAACCATTCCGCTTCACTTCCACCTCGGAAAATAATGGTTGCTGGCTAAACTTTAAGCAATATTTGCACGTAATTTTCATTGTTCATTTTTCATCGTACTGTGGTAAAGACGTAGTGTATATAACAGTAATCATTAATTTATGCATGAAATGTCGCTACTTAAAAACCGTTTAGTGCCAACAGTCCGATGCTTGTGACGTGGTCCTGTGGACAGGTACCTCAAGATTGTTACTCATTATTTTCTAATCTAATAGTTTAAATGAAACCATCTTAATTAAATGGCTCAACTTAATTAAAAGAAAAAACAGGACATCTGCTATTTTTGACATACACTGAGCATGGGCAATATACTTACTAATTGTAGCAATGTGAGGGGGATTAGCTACACCACGGCTCGCGGGTGGTGGATTAAGAAATCTGGGAACATTGGGTTGGGCCATCCGAGGTTGGGGATTATAAGTATACAGGTTGCCACGAGCATTACCCCTCCCACCTCTATTGCCTCTCGTTGCCCTCCCCCTGCCTCTGGTCACTGTTTGGGTTACAGGGGGAGGTCGTAGTTCTCTTTCTCTTTCTTCCAAGACTTCAACTCGTCGCTTTTGCTGGTCTTCTGGTAATGTTTTCACAATCTGTCATGGGTTGAACAAAACCACTTATAATCAAGAACAAGACACGCACATCGTTTCATAAGCAAGATAGAACACTGAAAGTGACAAATTGTGGGTTTATTTTAAAAAATAAAATTATACGTTCCTAAACGTCTTAATTTTTGAGATACGGGGTGGTGAAGTTTTGTATTTCAGTTAAAGAGCCTTAAAGAAAAATATGTTACGTGACAAAGAAAACTAACAGCATAATAACAATATAATACTCATTTTTTGCATGAAAGTCAGTTGAAAGAAAATCATGTTGCTCAAAAGTGAATGAGAATATAACAATCAATCAATTTAAAACCTTTATTTTATACAGATTGGATTATACAAAGGGTACTATAAAAGTTTTGCAATACAGGTTTATTTATTGACTTTATTTATTATTGTGATTTCCGCCACATTCAATACACTTCATCGCCAAAACCAGTCCTTAAGCCAGCTCTGCCAAGTTTCACCCGGGAGTGCGGCACACTTGTTGTCCCAAGCCCCCAGAAGGCCCTAATCCGTAGAAAACCGTTTTCCTTTTAGCTTCCATTCCTGACTTTGGCCGCAGGTTTTTCATAGACTCTAGGACTTTAGGCAGGCACTGTTCAGTGCACCATTTCGCTGTGACTGTCTTCTGTATGTCCAAAACGATATGCTCCACAATCCCGCTCGAATTGAAAAATACAGCTATAGTTTTTTCGCAACAGATTGCGATTTTCTGACAGCTGGGGTGTGTACTCATCATCAAATACCCAAACTTTGTTTTGAGCCTTGGTCGGCACATCGTAATAATAGAGCCAAGTCTTGTCAGCTGTCACAATGCTGTTCACATAGCGAGATTGCACCTTATGAATTGCTGGTGCATGAGGGTGTAAGGTCTCCTCTATCTGTTGTATATCACTCTCCAGTCTTCGTCAAGCAGTTTCCTCACATCAATAATGTTTTCCTCTGTTACTGATGTTCTCGGCATTCCTTCCCTCTCAGCGTCCTCCTGAGTGAAATTGCCCCTTTGGAATTCTCTGTACCACCTGAATATAGTCGTACAACGAGGACAATCATTTTTTAATGTAAGCGCCATTTCTTCTAAGTACTGGTCTATGCTTAAACCACGCGTAAAGTTATACCGTAAAACTGCTCTTATCTCACTACGTGAACACTTTACACTGTCAATACGAATGAGCAGCTAAATCAAGAGACGTGCTGCTGGCGGCTACTATGCACTCAAGAACATGTCTCAACATGCAGCCTCCTGCGTCCGTTTGTTAAGACATATTGCAAAACTTTTATAGTACCCTTTGTATATGCCTTTGGCTTATATTTAAACAATAAAATAAAAAAATATTGTTGTATACATTCAAAATATGTACTTCTTAGGAAAGGGGTGAAATACGCGGAAGAGGATAGAAGACATGTGATAAAACCTTCTTACAAAGTATTGTTATGAGAAAGTGCCACTCTGTTCTTTTGTAGCATCTCCCAAAGTACGAGGTGGTACCAAAAAAAACGGAATTATTTTTTAAAAGCTGTTTATGTTCAACTGTTTCACAAAGTAACCTTATCTCCTTCAAAATACCGTCCACTACAACTCATACACTTGTCCCACCGGTGCTTCCACTACTCGAAACATTTTGCTTAGAAATGTCTGACAGCTCCTCCCTCGTTTTTTTTAACCTCTTCAATCTCGTCAAAGCGGCGTCCTTTTCATCCGTGGAAATAAGAAAAAGTCGCACAGAGCCAGGTCAGGCGAATAAGGTGCGTGATGCAGCGGAACCATGCCATTTTTAGCGAGAAACTGTCGAACAGAGATGGCTGTGTGCGCAGATGCATTATCGTGGTGGAAAAACCAGTCTCCTGAATGCCACAAATCGGGTCTTTTTTGCCAAACACTGTCGCAATCGTCTTAAAACCTCCAAATAGCACAAGCTCTAGAATTTTTTCAACATTTTCGCCGATTCGGGCAGTTGATGGACGTCCAGAGCGAAGCTTGTCATAAAGCGACAGGTCGCCATTTTAAAATCAAGCAAACCACTCGTACACCTGAGTTTTTCCCATAGCATCATCTTTGTAAGCGTCTTTCAACATTAAAACAGTTTCAGCAGCATTTTTACCAATTAGAAAGCAAAATTTCACACCTGCACGTTGCTCACTGAAGCTTGCCATCGTAAAAAACAAAACAGACTACAGAGGAACGAAACAAGCCAGATCGACAACTCAGGTGGCAGTAAACTGGTAATGAGTTGCACTGTACGCCTCTAGGGGCAGAAATGTGTACTACACAAGCTCCACCCACTGCAATGCTATTCCGGTTATTTTTGGGTACCTCCTCGTATGTCATCTGGGATGCAATTGGGGAACTGCCCAGCTCCTTTTACAGAAGCATGGGAACAAAGCAGCACGTCCATATGTTAGTACAGGGTAGATTATTTTTAATTTCACTTCTATAGAGACATTGGAGCTGAAGCCAATGATTGGAGACAGAGTGTGAGCTGCTTATCTTAGCCTTAAGAATTCTTTCTTTAATGAGGCCTTATGTGCTTACTGTTTTATTAAGATTGAGTCCAAGGTACTCTATTTGTTGAGGATGGAGGTTATGACTGCTCCCCATTCCAACCAAACTTGATCTGTTTAGGGTATGTTTTCGCTGATCCAAATACAATACACTTAGTTTTCTGCTAATTAGAAAAATATGAAAATAATTTTTATCATAAGTAAGGAGTAGGGTCAGTATTTTTATTTCTAACCACTCATCTCAAATCCTGAATGATCTCTTAAAGAAATAAAAAAATTCATCAAAAAATGTCTCTTATGTACCAAACTTTATTTGAAAACTTAACTACCCTATATCTGAAAATTAAAGACAGGTCACAATCAGTTGAATTATTTTTTAAGTAAATGCATGAGTTTCCCATCAAATATTTTATTTTACATTTGGAATACCCTCATAGAGAGTGACATACAAATATTTTCTCCAAAAATAGATTACAAAAATATAATTGAATATCTGTTACCTTTTGTATGACATTATCTAAGACCAGTGTAGCATTCATGGTGGTTATTTTTGCCCGACATATAGGACATATATTTCTATTCTTTTTCCACTTTTCTATACAATATTTACAAAAAGTATGCGCACAGTTCAGGGTTACAGCCTTAAAGAACATGTCTGAACATATTGAGCACATCATTTCATCCTCCATTTCCTATTAAAAAAGAAAACATGTAAGAATAATAAGCTTGGCATAGTTGAAAATACAAACCTCATATTGCTGCTCAGGCAAAGGGGGTATTATGATAGATTCTTCTGGTTTTTCTACTGAGCTAGATGGTTGTATAATTTCTATTGGGACTGGTAATGTATTAGCTATAAATAATAACAATATTAATAACAATTACAATATTATATTTCACTATGTTTTATATTTCCATTGTTGAATGTATTACAATGATGAATACATATTATACAATATCATATATTTCAAATTTTTTGATGGAGGATACATAAGAACAAAAAAAAACAATATTTTAACTATTAACTATTCAAACTTACTATCTGATATAGTTGAGGTATTTTGTAGATTTATTTCAGGATTATCACAGATAGGTAAGGTTGCAGTGCTTGGTACAATATTGGAGGTATTATCTACATTATTTACTGATGATGAGAGAGCTAATCTATATGTTTTTGGGGAAGGACTGGTATCTGGAACTAAGTAAGCATTACATTAACACCTATATTAATTGAAAAATATCTATTACCTGATATAACTGATACATGTTGCACAGAAACACTAGAAATTTCAGAAATTGGAACTGTTGTTACCTCTACTTCATTCACACCAGTTGTTATTGGCTCATGATTTATTGATGCTGCAAGCTCTATTCTAGATCTTTTTGGTGAAGAAGCACCTAGAAGATAATTTTAAACATATAATTTACATATTTTTTCTTGGTAGGAAAAATTACCTGAACTAACTGGTCTTTCATTAATAGGAATACTAGGAGTTTTAGAAATGGGAACTGTAGATGTTTCTGTTTGACTCAAAACTGTATCCAAAGAATCAGCTACCATATTTAACTGTTCATCTGATATAGATGTATCCCTTGATTGGGATGTTTGAAATGTAAAATCATAGCTACCATCAAGACATAAAGCTATTACATCATTATCAGAAAGAGGTTTCTGGTCTTTTTTTACAAGCACCCCATTCAAGTAGCAGCCATTGGTGCTCTGCAAATTTATAGAAATATTCAATCATAATAAATTTTAATAATGATAATGAACAAAAATATGGGAGAGTTTAGTAGTGTTTATTTTCTTTTCATATTGACATCTATGTTTATTACTGCAAACCTAATGGCAATAAATTATTATTAATATTTGTCAACATTTGTGGTTATAACTTAGGCTCTCGCAAACTTTTTAACCGAGTCTTTTCAAGTTTAAGCACTAAGCTAACAGGTGGTTGAAAAAACAGTAATGTCTCTTATAACATTCTATAGCCATATTTATTCCGTCATACTCACAATGTCCCTGAAAAACCAGTCACCATCAGCTTTCTCAATGCTACAATGATGACGGGATATTTGAGCATTAGGTATCACATAGTTACAATTTAATGCACGACCAATGACGAACTGAAAATAAAATGCAGTGCTTTGCGTCCAATACAATAGTAACTCACACAACTTACGGGATTTTCATTGATGGAAATAGTATTTCCATTTGTATGCTTGAGCTTCGGTACTTCCAAATCATTCATTGTTATGTGTAAACTCAACTCATCATCAACATTTTTCAAAGAAGCATTTCGTAGAGAAAAACCAAATATCCTAAAATACGAAATGGTCAGAAACAAGCATTAATAATTGGAATATATTTTGTTAATGAAAATTTGAATTTGATGAGGAAAAAGGAAAAATAGTACGTTTGCTTTTGAAATGCTTTAAAATGTCAATTTGGTAGCTATCAATTGTCAACAAATGACATGGAATAAGAGCATACTAGATGAGGGTAGTAAAACCACGTCAGCGCCACCTTCAACCTTCAACTAAGTTAGTTGAAGGTGACGCTGACCACGTCTACGCACGTTATAGAACCGACACTGTCGACACAGAACGCATCATCAGGTTCAAGAAATTTGTATTGTCACTCATTTACCAAATCAAATACAGTCCACTTTTGTAAACTAAAATAAACCTACCACCAGACTGGAACGGATGTGTCCTTGCCGCACATAACATTTGATCCTTCGAGCCGGATCGAAGTCAGAAACTCCTGAAATCGCCCTGGCCGGCCTGAAGCACAGCGACCACGGGACCTACAACAAGCCGCCATCATTGGGAATCGCCATCGAAGATCGTCACACTCACACAAAAGGTTGGTGCGTTCCATATCTCAAATTCCTGTCGTTTTTCCTTGAGCTCACACATTGTCGCTTAAAAATTCTCGTATTTCATATTGTTTCGTTATTTCTGGAGCACTCAAATTTTCGCATTTGTCGCTAACGTTAAATTGTGTCGTTACGGCTTGGTTACCTACCTGAATTTACCCTCATTCTCGTTCTCGCTCACTCACGCATAATGCCTAATGGTAATGCTAAAAAACTTGCATCCATAAAGGGTACTCTTACTCGATTTCATAATTATTTCGATACCATCAGTCAAAAATCTAATCCAGATATCACAGAACTGGAATGTAGACTAGCTTCTGTTGAATTGCTGTTAGACAATTTTAACAAAATTCAAGAAAAAATCGAAGATTCAGATGGAAATTTTGAGGAAAATTTTGAATCAGTTCATTCAGTAGCGCGTGCTGAATTTGAAAATGCCTTTTACGAAATTACATCAAAAACTAAGCAATTTTTGAACGATCATCGCCCATCGCTAGGAAACAATGCGGCTTTACATTCCCCTCCACAATTTGTACAGCCAGATTTGCAGGCTATCAAGCTTCCGGCCTTGAATATCCCACATTTTGATGGATCATACGATCAGTGGCTATTTTTCCGAGATACCTTTCGCTCTTTAATCCATAACAATGATGCCCTAAGCCCCATACAAAAGTTTCATTATCTGAGATTGTCACTAAAAGGTAGCGCCTCAGACACAATCAAGTCTCTCGAAATCTCAAATCAAAATTATAATGTAGCTTGGGACTTACTGGAGGAACGCTTCGAAAATAAGCAACTTTTAGTCAACAATCATATAAAAGCACTTTTTGACATACCTAACATCCAACGAGAAGGCTATGCTAACCTATGGGACTTAGTAGACAGCCTACAGAAACACTTGCGAGCTTTGGAGGTTTTGAAACTACCTGTCTCGCACTGGGACTCGATACTCATATACCTTATTTCCTCCAAGCTAGATAACGCTACTCGCCGCGAATGGGAAATGCGGAGCAAAACGCAAGAACTTCCTACCATGACGGAATTTTCAGAATTTCTAAAAAACAAGTGTCGAAATCTGGAATCTTTCGAAATGAACCATGATAAAGCGAGACAAAATCAATCGTTCAATAAGCACGTCAAGCCCAAGGCATTTGTAGCTACACACAACGAAAATACGTCATGCGCGTTTTGTAAAAGGGATCATTCAATCTATATGTGCCAAGAGTTTATTCGCTTACCCCCCACAGAGCGTTTTAATGAAACAAGGCGCCTCAATCTTTGTATCAACTGTCTGAGATTCGGACACAACGTGAATAATTGCAAGTCCATGTTCTGTAAATATTGCAGCAAGCCTCATCATACTTTACTGCACTTTCCTAGCAAACCTGAAGCTCGACGACACGACGCGCCTCCTTCGCCGCCTGCCGTTCGGCGTCAGTACAATGGGCGTCATAACGCAGCCGCCGTTGCCGCTGATGCGCCCACGCCATCCACAGCCACAGCTGAGCGCGGTGCCGCGAGCCAGCGCGGAGAACGCATTGCCTTCGAACGCGACGTTGCCGATGTGAACCGGCCAGCCAGAAATCTAGCGAGAAATAATAACATTGTTTCTTTATCTTCCAATCACTCTTATGCAAACAAATCGTCTCAGATCTTACTATCTACGGCTATTGTTGATGCTTCAGATGCATTTGGTAACACACATGAATGTAGAGTCTTACTAGACAGTGGATCTACTAATCATTTCATATCTCAAAATTTATGCGAGATCTTACAGTTGCAAAAATCCAAAATTAACCTTGATATATCTGGAATTGGTCAATCAGATACCAAGGTCTCACACAGAACATTTGTCAAAATCCGATCCAAATTTAGCGGTTTTCACATTACTTTATCGTGTTTGATTCTACCTTCTATCACTGGAAACGTGCCAGATGTTGGTTTTGACAAAAGCTCTCTAAGCTTACCGCATAATATTACTCTTGCAGACCCTAACTTTTTTAAAGCTAGCCATATCGATCTCCTTATAGGAGCAGACTTATTTTGGGATCTTATATCCATTGGGCAGATCAAGCTCGGACGCGATCAGCCAATCCTTCAAAAGACAAAATTAGGCTGGATAATATCAGGCCCTGTACCAGCCTCATCATGCCAACCTCGTGTCGTTTGTAACCTCAGCGTAGACAATTTAGACAAAACCCTAACAAGGTTTTGGGAAATAGAGGAGATTCCTAGCAAAAAATTTCTTTCTGAAGACGAAGAAATGTGCGAACAAAACTTCAAAGAAACAGTTCAACACATCGACGGCCATTTTGTAGTTGCCATCCCCTTGAAACTTCCCGAGTCAAGCCTCGGCGAATCTAAATCTCTAGCAGAAAAACGATTTGTTAATCTTGAACAGAAACTCGAACGAAATCTTACTTTGAAGTATCAATATCACGCATTCATCCGCGAATATATCGATCTCGGGCACATGTCATTGTGCCGAAATCAAGACAACACTGGGTTTTTCATGCCGCATCATTGTGTCATGAAAAATGATAGTACTACGACTAAACTAAGGGTAGTTTTTGACGGGTCCGCCAAGTCCACCTCGGGATATTCGGTCAACGACATTATGATGATCGGCCCTACTATCCAAAATGATCTTTTCTCGATCCTACTTCGTTTTCGGAAGCACAATATTGTTCTTGGTGCCGACATCGCCAAAATGTATCGGCAGGTACTGGTTCGAGAAGATCAGCGCCATCTGCAAAAGATTTTATGGCGGTTCGATCGGAACAAAGACTTGCAAGCATTTGAACTTAACACTGTCACGTACGGAACAGCCTCGGCGGCATTTCTTGCGATTCGTTCGCTACATGAAGTAGCTCGGATTCATAAGACAGCTTATCCTTCAACTTGTCGTGTAATTATTGAAGACTTCTACGTAGATGACCTTCTCACGGGCACAGAGACGGTGGATCAGGCTTTGACCTTGAAGGCAGAGCTTACAGATTTACTCGACCAACATGGTTTCCCTTTGAGAAAATGGTCCTCAAACCACAAAGATATTCTCGCAAATTCTGAGACTATACAAATCGGTGCAGATCAGCAAAACAAAACTTTGGGCATATTTTGGAATGCGACGCTGGACCTTCTCACTTATTGTATAGCTGAGACTAGTGCCTCTCAAAAAATCACAAAGCGTCACATCTTATCATGTATAGCGCAAATCTTCGACCCATTAGGTCTCCTATCGCCTGTCACTATCACCTCCAAGCTAATAATGCAAGACTTGTGGAAACTCAAAGTTTCATGGGATGAAAGCATTCCCTCTCAGCTTTATACAACGTGGCTTGATTATAGATCAAAGCTCTCTGAATTGAACACTGTTCAATTTCCTAGACACGTGATATGTCACAATCCAATTTCTATCGAACTTCATGGATTTTCAGATGCTTCTGAAAAGGCATACGGAGCAGTTGTGTATATTCGATCCGTAGACTTTCAAGGAAATTGTCATACCAAGATTCTCTGTGCAAAAACTAGGGTAGCTCCACTTAAGCAGGTTACTATTCCCAGGCTCGAGCTATGCGCAGCTCTTCTCCTTGTCAAACTCGTATCAACTGTCAAAGAATCCATGAAGCTGAATTTCGATCAAATCTGTTACTGGTGTGACTCGAAAATTGTATTATGCTGGTTGAAATTATCACCTCATCTTCTTAAAATGTTTGTTGCGAACAGAGTTTCTCAAATTCAAGCTTTATCTGATCCTGTTTCCTGGAACTATATCCATACAAGTGATAACCCAGCAGATTTGTTGTCGCGCGGGATATCTCCGTCAGATTTTCTAACCTCCAATCTTTGGTTTCATGGTCCTATTTGGCTGTCACGGGAACAGTCGAATTGGCCCCATTTTAAAGATAGCCCAATAAACGATAGCTTTGATCTCCTTGAACGCAAGGAAAAGATCACTTCATTATTCTCGACAACAGAAAATCATCTCTCTTCTGTAATTATCAAGTTCTCTTCGTTCTCTAAGTTGCTTCGGGTGTTTGGCTATATCAGCAGGTTCAAACTCAAGACTCTGTCAAAGGAGCATCAGCTAACTGGCCCCTTGACACCTATTGAACTCGATAATGCTCTAACATACCTTATAAGGATAGTTCAAAGATCTTCTTTTCCTATCGATCTTCAACAGCTAACCCAGGACGGAAGAGTTTGCTCTAAAAGCAGTCTTCTTAGTTTATCCCCCTTTGTTGACTCGCATGGACTTATTCGTGTTGGCGGTCGTCTGCAAATATCTGATTATCCTTATGATAAAAAACATCCATACGTCCTACCCCAAAATAATCATTTCTCCGTGATTATCGCTCGTCATGAACATCAACGTTTAAAACACATCGGATGTCAAGGTCTTCTAGCATCTATCAGAGAAAAATTTTGACCTATCGGCGGCAAAAGGCGTGTGCGAAAAATTATTCGGGAATGTATCTCTTGTTTTCGCTTTAGCCTTAATCAAGAAAGATACTTGATGGGAAGTTTGCCGAAATCTCGAATCACTCCTGGGCGACCATTCCTATCTGTAGGAATCGACTTTGCCGGTCCATTCACTATTAAGCTCAGCCAGACGCGTAACTCCAAGTTATCCAAGGCTTACATTGCTTTATTTGTTTGTCTCGCAGTTAAGGCAATTCACATTGAAATCGTTAGTGACCTCACAACTGAATGTTTCCTCGCTGCTTTCAGAAGATTTACTTCTCGCAGAGGTTTTTGCTCTCACGTAATCTCAGACAATGGAACAACGTTCGTGGGCGCTAGTAAAGAACTAAAACAATTCATTTTACAGCGGACTGATGCCATTTCGGAAAAATTAGCCATTGATGGTATTAAATGGACATTCATACCACCTAGATCACCTCACTTTGGGGGGTTATGGGAAGCCGCAGTCAAAACGGTAAAGCATCATTTAAAACGATCTGTCGGTGAAACGCTATTAACTTTTGAAGAGTTCTATACGGTATTGACTCAAATTGAAGCATGTGTGAACTCTCGACCTCTTTACCCTTTATCAGACGACCCCTCAGACCCTTCTCCTCTCACACCCGCACACTTCATCATCGGCGAATCATTAATGGCTACACCAGACAAAGATTGGTTAACCGTTCCTGGAAACCAATTATCTCGTTTCGAACGACTGCAGAAAATGACGCAGCACTTCTGGGCCAGGTGGTCCAAAGAATATGTCTCACATCTGCAGCATCGCACTAAGTGGAAGGAGAACTTCATTCAAAGACTCAAGATCGGCACTCTGGTGCTAGTTAAAGAAGACGGACTCCCTCCATTGAAATGGAGAATCGGCAGAATAACTGAACTCCATCCCGGACCAGACCACATCACTCGAACTGTTACCTTAAGAACTTCAACTGGAGAGTACAAAAGGCCAGTAGTCAAGCTTTGTGCTCTTCCACTTCCAGACGACGACAGCATCTCATCGTGTTGAAAGCCTGGAGGCTTTCAAGGGGGCGGCCTATGTTACGCCAATGGTCATTTGGCGCGCGCGCCACTGTGTAGCAGCCACGACCACTGCGCAAGCGCTGCCTGACAGTTTTTGAATCCAGCCAATGGGGACGGAGACACCAGGAGATCGAAGCGCCGCGACCAACATAGGAGGTGTCGACACAGAACGCATCATCAGGTTCAAGAAATTTGTATTGTCACTCATTTACCAAATCAAATACAGTCCACTTTTGTAAACTAAAATAAACCTACCACCAGACTGGAACGGATGTGTCCTTGCCGCACATAACACACCGCGTTGTGACAACATCACCGTGCGTAGAACATGCCATCATCAGCAAAATTACGCTACTTCCATGACAAAACCTAATGCGATACGTTATATTGAGCAAAGACCTTAATTTATTTTTTGTGCATAAATACATTTTCTCATATTATTTCTAGAGAAATTTAACGGAATACTTCAACGCCGTCGATGGGCAGAATATGATGATAATCTTCGCGTCGATGCTGTATGAACGTCGCATCATATTCGTGTCAAAGAAACTTCAACGATTGAGCGCATGTGCACAATCGGCCAACGACATCATCTACCCTATGATATGGCAACACATCTTCATTCCGGTGTTGCCGATGTCGCTCATCGATTACTTGTTAGCGCCTATTCCGTTCCTTATTGGCGTACCTGAGGAGGTTTTCAAGGTAATCTATATCTGGCAACGATTAGATTAGAAGGGGCCAATCCTATATGTTTTAATTGCATTGTTTGTCTCCAAAATTGCGTAGTTTTAAATCATACTTTTGACTACAAATGCCTACCAAAGTGGCAACGTTGTATCGATATAATAATAATACTACCGGTGGAAATATCTACCTTCAATAGGCTTTTGCCGCTCTTTGCAAATTATGCAAGTAGTATCATGTCCTAAAATCGTCTAATACCAAACGCACTCGCACTTTTAAAAAATAACAATAAAATATGAATTTAATGACAGAACTGTCAAAAAATTATCTTACATCTAGTCTACTTGTAGAATGCACTACAGACTGAGATTTTGTAGACAAACAAAGCTTGCTCCTCCTACAAACACACTTGAGTGAAATATCGTCGCCTTAATAAGAAAACTGCCTAAGTCCCATTCAGTAAAGTTTTCAGGAGATACGAAAAACTATTTGTAGTATCTAATAATTTTCCATAAGTTCATTTATTTTATACTCCAAACTATTCTAGAATGTTATCATAATTAGGTTAGCAATCCATGTTTCTTATCATACTTGTTTTTCACACTCAATGCGGAGTTAGGCAAATATCTGAATAATATTAATTAAAACTAGGGAAAATAGCAAATTTATATTATTTCAGAAATACACATAAGAAACTTAAAAAATCAATTTATTTTCATTAAATTAAAAAATTAAACATTTCTTTGGTGTAAGAAAAAACATATCGTCACGTGACTAGTACAAATAAGAATGAGATAGATAATATCAAAATAAAAATTAAATAATTATTCATTATAACAACTCAAAGAGGAGCTGGACATTTTATTCATGTGGCAGGTTGATATATAACTTATTCTTTATTTCCAATCTACTCTCATAATTTATGTCATTGGGAACATATTTCATAGCCCTTCTGGGTAGGTCACTCCAAAGCTTTTCCGTATGTCGCAATTTTTATTGAATTCATCCATGTTCATATTTCAAAGATTTGATATCAACTACCATTGGATCGCCCGCATCTGAAATTATGCGAAAAACTAATTATGTTCTAAAATTATCTCTGTACTTGATTTCACTGTAGTTAACTTATATTGGCTACCTTCGCCAAAATTTACATAGAAAATTGGTTAACTCCATATCAATCTATTATATTATTTAGACAATTCTAGTACCTACTATCCTTACAATAAGAATGTAAGCAAACAACTTACCTGTCATTTATTTCTTGATATTTGATGTGAACGATTGAGTGAAACCGTGGAGAGAGCTAAATTCCCGATTTTAAACAACAGACACTTGATCGCTTGAGAAATACCCACAAAATTATGGATTCAGGCTGTTTTCCCTCGGTTTTTGGGAGCGAGGAGATAGAAGATATTTCTGTTTAGGATATTGTGTGAGTGTAGATTTTTCTATGAACATACCGCTTGGTAGGGCGATGAACGGTGGCATTCTCTAAAAGATGGAGCCAAATTATCATTTTTTGGGGAAAAAGTGGAGTTAGGCAGTTTTCTAATTAAGGCGACGATATGTCTTTTACTTCCTTTTCTACTTTGTTTTTCCCTTTAGATAGAATCACCTGCTTTTAGTATATTTTCTATATTTGTTGGTTTAATTTATCTTTTTTTATGATTGTAAATAGTTTACTTAGATGTTGGGCATTAGATGCTGTTTATTTATTTATTCGTGATATGAATTCGTTGATATCAGCTAGTGCGTAATCCTAATCACATATAACTAGAAACGTTGTGACAAGTTTAACGTTTTTTATTTTATTGCAGCAAGTACATAGAATTGAAATAGGAGATGTTGTCATATTAGATGCAGATACAAATACGATTGATACTCCTTTTGATGATCTTAATAATCTTCCTCAAGAAGTGGTAAGTTGAGCATAATTTCTCAGAGATAATGATGACAAACAAACGTTTCAATGTTTTATTACATACCCTGCGAATATTTGAACGATGTGACGTCAACAGGGATACAGTGCCAGGGGCTCGTGTGGTCTGGTTGACGTCACGTCAGTCAAGTGTGCGGATGGGTGCTATTTTTTGTTGAAAATGTTTGCTAATAATAGATATTCAGTGATCGACATAGTAGATTTTGTAAAATTGTTCTTTATTCTAGATTACATCCCTCAAAAAGCAACTTCGTAATAAGTCTTTAGGTGATGGTGTTTCCAGAGCTTTTTTACGTGCTTTAGTTCAACTAATAGGTGGTTATAGAGGTGCTCTCAGGTTTGAACCGGGTCAAAAAGTGACGTTGACAAAGAGAAGTTCATAGAAACGAGACCTGTGTCGCTTCAACCCTTTTTGAGGCAAATGTTACAGTTACAGATATTCCAACAGGTAATTCGCGTTCAGAATCTACTAGTGTAAATCATTTGGAATATGAGTAAACAAATCGAGTTAGACTACTCGACTGCATTTTTTAGTTTATAGAAGAGCGTCTAATGATGTTGAATACAGGCCAAGGATTTTCTGACGAATTTGAATACGAATTAGAAAGATACTCGGCAAAATCAGGATCGAAGTTGAAACAACAGTATCGTGAGTGGACATCTACTATGAGAAAAGAAGGAACCGCGTTTTTCAAAAGTGTAAAAGATAAGGTTAGTGTCACGCATCTTGACTCTCAATGAATACTGTTGATCCTAACGTTATTTTAAGGCCCATGCTAATACGTTAAAAATGTATTTTTTCTGTTTCAGGCTAATCCTGCGATGAAAAATGCTGTAAAAACAGTAAGTTTTGTATCGTAGATAATAGCCATTCCATGTAGTTGAAGGACCTAGCTTTATTTTGTGTTTGTATAGAGCTGGTTATTGATTACGTGAATGGGCAAGCGTTATTGTTTATTATAATTTATAATAAATCCTCAACATAATTGCATTAATCTTTTCTTGTAGGTTAAAGATGGAGGGAAAAGGCATGAAAAGTGCCTATAAAGGCCTCAGGTCGAAACTTAAAGACAACCCGCCGCCTCAGAATGGAACGGCTGCAAGTAGTCATAGATCAGCGCCAAATTCACCCACTGGAAAACGAAGATCAGTGGGCGCTAGTTTCGCAGCCCCTGTTGTAACATATAGGAAAGACGCAGCTTTGGCTCTAAGAAATACGGCGATGCAAAGGTAAATAATCCGATACTTACATAGTGGCCATGTTTACATCGGATAGCGCTAGACACAGAACATCAAACAATCGCGTCGTTCCGTGCGTTTACACTTCTCTTTGGCAAGATATTTTTTTACACTGAACCAGGCGCGCAAGCAGAAGTCATAATGCCATGACACCGCGACTGCTATGAGGATCCAAAGAAATTTTGTTAATCCGATTTTTAAACTAAGGTTAGAAGAACCGGGAAGAGACTCTTCTTGTATAGATTGTTCCACAATCTCGACACCCTCGGGACAAAGGAGCGGTCGTATCGGCCAGTTCTGGATTTACGACGTTCCACACGGTTAAGCTGGGAGGCCGAAGTCAGGCCGGTCTGTCTGGCAGGCACACCGTGCGGCGGCATCATGGAGGAGAGACTGTGAGAAGAGTGATCGATCATTCGAACAGCCCTCCACGGGCTAGCATAAATAATGTAGTCGGGGCGGCAACACCCCAAACGTGTGAGCAAAACTAGAGAGGACAGGTCTTATCTGAGCCTTGTGTAGAGTAAGGAGGTCATGCTAAGAAAAGTACTTCTTAGCCCTAAACAAATAGCCTAGCTTTTTCCCAGCAGCTGCCGCTATTGACGAGATGTGTTCGTGCCAGATCAAGTCCTCGGTGATCTGGATCAACCCGGCTGAAATGAACGGCTGTTCCATCGAAACCGGGTAAGCGCTAGGACGCTTTTTGTTCGTCAAGGTACAGTACTGTAGTATGGAAGCATTAAACTTTACAAGATTGTTGCGTCTCCAAGCAGGTCTCTCGTCAGGGAGGGGAAGTCGCTGCTAGTCTTTTTGCCAACTCATCGGCAGAGATCCGCTTGTCGTTCTAATGCCTTTAAACTGTACAAACATTGTACAAAGTCAGGCACTGTTATAAAACTAAGTGCTAGTTTATCTCACAGCACTCGATGACCAACTGGCCAGCTACTTATGTTCAATATCATTCTCTAAAAGAAAATACAACATGCATTACTTAATGTTACCACTATTCTATTTCTATTATAGTTACATAGAGAATACAACCACAAATATATTGCTCTGCTTTTTTACCAGGTTCTTTTTTTTTGCTTAACCAGCACTGTTTTGTTTTTCCTCTTTTCCACTTTGTTTGCAAGATGCCACAACCATTGTTTTCTATTGTGTCTTCTCATTGTTTTTTTAGTTTTGACATATTGTTTACTTTACACTTATGTTTTTTAATTATATCTTCTTGTTTTCATTCATTTTTTCAAACAATCTTACTGCACTTTACATCTTATAATGTTACGCCTATTTTTCGACAACGCTTATATAAAAAGTTCGTTAACTTGCTGGTTCTCAGAACTGAGAATTGAGTCTAAATTTAGAGGCAAAGCTAAGTGTTTCGCTAAAATTTGTTACAATCCTGTATTTTCTCGATTAGACATTCTAATATAAGGTGCTGTAATGTCCCTATATTTCCGCAACTGCAATGTGGATCATCTCTGTATGCCTAAAATTGTATGATGTTAAGAGGCTAGCGCAGTACAATATACAATTTGACAGTGTTGAATAACCAATTCTTTCATTACATTTTTTCAATTAAAATAGGTCGTACTGTCCGTTGAGTCCGTCTTCGCAGCCTATTACTCCAGACGTCCTGGATACACCTAGAAGTAGCAGTCCCCCAATAGATATTCCCAGGATAGATTTAATGAACGAAATGGTCGATTTGTTACACTTTAATCTGGAGACACCACCTGTTGATCGATCGGTAAGCGACTTTGATATTCCCATAAATAAATGCCCACGTGCTTTGCTTTTCCATGTTGTCCTTCAACTTTCCCATAGGTTATATATATATATATATATATATATATATATATATAGATTTATATATAGGTATTTATGATTGTTCCTCGTATACACATACCTGAAGACAAACAGTTTGAGTTGCTTCCGTTTTGCTTCAGTTGCTTTAATGCAGTTGAACTGGCATCTCTTTGTTTTTTATGTTCTATTATTTATTTTCATAATTGACCTAAGGGATGTTTGTTTCCCTTGCGACGTGCTTTGCGTGTCTCATTCATTAGGTAGGTTTCGCATATTTTTTCGTGGGTTTTTTAAGTCTGGTTTTTAAATGTCACATTGTCTATGTGATTTTTTGTAAATGACTTTTTTCACTTAATTGTTATATTTACAATTTTGAAGTTTTAACGTATCTCTTTCACATTGAGGAAGGCGTAAAATAAACATCAAAACGTTGACCCTTTGATTAAAGGCATTTTCAACACCTGTTGATTCACCCCAAGAATCCGAAGAAATTGAAAGCTTATAAGAGATTCTGGGACAAGAAGTTATTTTCTTTAGATAGGTATATAAAAAGACATTTGAAGTAACACAGTCGCTATCGGATAGTCACATTGAAAGACAAAGTCTACTGCGCTTCATGTTGAAAATGAAAGGGAAAACGCACAGGTGTGGTCATTCCTTTTTATTTCTTGTTGGCAGTTGAAACCGGTGCGTAGCCTAGAAAACTTCAAAACCGCAGGCGTTGGTGCTTCGCCGCTCCACTCTCCCGGACGGCCTATGTTCTTCCCTGCCTCGCTAGGTGGCAGCAGTAGCAGGGCTGACACTCAAACCCTCCTTCAGTCGCCACCAGAGGGCGCGTTCGGCATAGCTAGCGATACCGTCTCGTCACCGCCCACTGTACCGCCCAGACTCTCGGCGCCGCCTTATCTACCTGTCAGTAGGCATCAACAGGTAAGACCCTACGTCCTTAGGAAATAATAATACATAATACATTTATTTCATTATTAAATAGCCCCTATAACAAATCATAGAACAAAAGGACATGGTAGCAGAAAAACACATACAGTTGAAAAAACAATACAATACAGATTAACAAACAGTTTTACATTCAAAGAACTCTTCCTAGGTATAAAAACTCTTGTCTGTTAGAAATGATTTGAACTGATTTTTGAAACTGGTCAATTTCAGTGGTTTTTTGAATATGTTTTTTTAAATTATTGAAAATTTTACAACCCATGTAACTCAAAGATTTCCTTTATGCTGCAGTAGGATGTTGAGGGGGCGTCAGTACATCTTTAGATTCAGTTTGATAATCGTCTTCGTCTTTGTTATTGAAGACATTCAATTTATTTTTATGCACAAATATTTACAATTCATAAATGTAAATACAAATTCTTAAGGATCGAAAATAATCCCTGGAAGATTCACGCCAATTAAGATTTACAATGATTCTAATAACGTATACTAAGGACATATAAAATGTAACACCCAGAGTATTTATTGAATTTTGGCCATGCAAGAGTAAGGTGGTATAATATATAACGTATACTAAGTGACATATAAAATGTAACACCCAGAGTATTTATTGAATTTTGGCCATGCAAGAGTAAAGTGGTGAAAGACGGAACGTCCAATATTCCATCGAACGGCATATTCATCGCACTGTGGCTGTTATGATGTGGGGTGAAATTGCTTACGGCAGCAGGTCACGATTGGTGTTCATTCAAGATAGCATGTCTGCCCAGCGCTATATCCACGAAGTTTTACAACCACCTCTGCTTCCCTTTTTGGAAACATTGCAAGATCCACTTTTTCAGCAGGACAATGCACGACCTCGAGTCGCACGTGTTACACTTTTTAGCAGAGTCCAGAGTAAATCTGCTTCAGTGCCCCCCTCGTACTCCAGACCTTCCACCCATCGAACATGTATGGGATATGATGGGAAAAAGGTTGCAAAATTCACCGCACCCTCCACACATATTGGAGGCTCTATGAAACCAAATTCAGATGTCCTGGGATACAATACACCAAGAAGACATCAATCGCCTAATCCAATCAATGCCACGACGACTTAACGAATGTGTAGCGAACAGAGGAGCTTCAACACATTATTAACATTAATTCAGCTATTTTGCGAAATTTTGCGTTAAAATTTTAATCACTTTCTGTTTGTCAGTAGACCTAAAACTTGTAAAAGTATGCTCGAAATTACAGCAGTACTAGTCGGTGTTGCACTTGCTATGTCATTTAGTATATTTCTGGAGAAGAAAAACTCTATCTGTGAGCTGCATCCCCACCTTAAAATGCCATAGCCTAAGTGACAATTAAACAACTTACCTTAATAAAAAATTCACACCATAAGCATTTTTACGTGATTGATAACACAGCGTCCTACATGTGACCCCCAATCAATTGTAATACCAAACAGCTTAACAGAAAGAGATGTTTCAATTGTTGAAACGTTATTAAGAATAATGAAACCCCGGTTATCTCTTAGTGAACATTTCATTAAATTGGGTCTTACCTATATTTAATATAAGACCATTATTTACTGACCGTTTTTGAGCGGCTTTAGGGGCTAGCTACGTGTCGGTTATAAGATTAGGGAAACCTGGTGCGAGTATCTAAATAATCCTAAAGTTCATCCAAAGATATAGTGAGTCTGAACACTGTCGTGCACTTTGCTCGTGATACTCCATAGCTGAAACAATAGTCAAGGCGATCGTATTCGAAACCGCATCAAAGCGGGAACTTTAAGATTGTAGGTTCGACTCCAACGGATATGAGATTTTTCCGATACTCTATTGAATATTTGTATTGACTTGCATCTCGAGAATTCGGTTTCAAGTAATTTCCTTCCAACAGGAACTGTTGTCAGCAAACCCGTCTTTCGTTGTGGGCGGAGGACACGAAAATGGCGATCCTGTTTTTTACGTGGCGGGGGGTGGCAGAGGAGGGGCAGTGGACGTGGTTAAGTTGACACCCCCTGTCTGTTCACCGAGGAGAAAGGTATTTAGTAAATCATCATTATCGTTGTATATTTGGAATTGTCATGCATATTATCCGTTTCTGTCATGTGTTTTTATGTGACCAAAACACGTACGTAATTTACGAGGTCTGTAAATTAAGAAATGAGACTGGCAACGTAGCGTTCGATCTGCCGACACTGGACGTGCCGGGCTTGGAGGAGAGACGGGAGAACATGTGATCGGCTTTCAGTACGAGTTTGGTTGTCGTAGCATTTTGTTTGTGAAAGTTTTTCGTATTGTGTTCTAAAAATGAGTTTTCGAGCAACGGTGTGCTATCAGGTTTTGCTTCAGATATGGACAACGAAAACTCTTGCTAAACTTCAGCAGGCCAACGGAGTTAGTGTTTTGTCAAGAGTCCAGGTTTTTCGGTGGTTTAAGGCATTTTCAAAAGGGAGAGAGTCGATTGAAGATGAACCACAACGCGGAAGGCCGGGGCGACAATATAAAATTGTAATTATATTTGAATAAACAATTTTAAAAAAAAATCAGTCTCAACACTTAATTTACAGACCTCGTGTATGATCATTAAAACATTATCAAGTGCAATGGACATATCTTATTGTAATCGGGACAGTTTCGAAAATGTAGATGAAAATATTCGATTCCGTCGGTCTGTCTTGTTTGTTGCTAATCCGTGACCGCTGTGTAACTCGGAAAGTACCGCCAGGATTTTGATGAAACTTTGACACAAGCTTTGTGGTTTTTGAAAGTTGGTCCAGTGGCGGCGAGGCTACGGGCAAAAAGCTTTGTTTCTGATGTTTCAGAGGCTTCTGATCATTTTCAGAAAAAATGTTGTAGGTGTCAATAATGGGGAGTTGTAGGGGAGGAGAAAAATATATCTGAATTTTTTGCGTTGGCAGATTTATACGCTTCAACCGTTGCTAATTATATACACCTTTTAGATATATTTCACACATGATAGATGTATCTGTACAATTGCTCTTAAACATAGAATGACATAGAAATGTTTTCGACTCACACGTCGCAGTAACGCCAGCAATGTAGATTTAGATGCGTCGAGGTTTGACCGATGAGTGGCTACAGCTGATGAGGTTAGTCATAGCAAAGTTGCTAAACGGTCTGTAGAGCAGGGAGGGAAATTTCTGGACCGCAACGTTGTCAAATTGGTGGAGATTAATATAGACTAATTGTTTGAACCTGTTTGACTAATTGAATCCATTTTTTATTATACTTATTCGTGACTAACTGTTTTATCTGGGGGCTAACCTCTGCCAGCATGGCTTGGAAAGTGCAGTCAACCGACTTGACGCCATTCTTTCATAGTACCCTAATTATACAAATTTGCCTTGCAACATATCGAGTTTTTTGTTCAATGACTTCCACGGAAGGCTTTGGTAATTTAGATCATTTAATTCAATACTGGATTGACATGTTTTTACAATATATCGACCAATTCCCACTTAACCCAAGTGAACTAATTAATTTTGAAGCAAAACGAAGATACGGAAGATCTGATCCGCCTAGACTCGACACCGTCGGACATAGACGACTTCGATCCCCTGAAGTCGAAGTCTTCCCCAGACAGTACTTCTAGCAGCAACAGCACCGGTCACGTGCCTTTGAGTATCACGAACCCCCTCTATACCTACGAGAATCACTCCGTCAAGCAAAATGGCGGTACGAGCAGTACCGCCTTCCAGCGGAACGACCAGGACCTGTTGCATGAGTATGGCCTAGACTTCGGCTTTTCTAATACGAATAACCAATCAGCGTTCGATATGTTCACCGGAAGCACGACCAAAGTCAATTCTCAAGGTCAATGGACGAAGTTCGACTGATTGAGTGAGAATGGTATTGCGTTGCTAAGTATGTGCTAGATGTGTTATTTGGAATTGATGTCATAGGAAATGAAACTGCTAAGGTGAGCTGGTATGTCTTTAAAAAGAAAAAAAATAGGAAATTTGATGGAAAAAGTATCGTTGTCTTTTTCTGCAGTACCGAATTGTTGACTTCTAAAAAGGTAGGCTCTAAACACGTGTTGCTTCTTGGCCAATTCTTTGTTAATTCAGAATACGAGAAATAACCCAAATTATTTAAAAAAAATGCCGACCAGGCATTTTTGCTGCATTGAACGAAATAGCGAGATTAAAAGACCTCTATTTTTATTTGAGATTATTTAATCTCTAGTTATTGTATTGTAAGTCATGAATATACAAAGGCTTTTCAAATAGTGGAAAGTATATCCTTCGTTTTTACCGAAATTTTTTGTGTGAAATTATATTGATAGCAAAATTGAAAATTTTCCTTGAAACGTGAAATGAATAAATAAGTAATATGTTTTCCGGTAAGGGTAGTATAAACTACATTTGATATTTGGAAACTAAAAATTTTGTTCGGCACATGACTCATTGATAAATGTGTATAATGATAATTTCTGATTATTTGTTAAAACTGATGCGTATTTACGCGCAACTGAAGATTGGTATCAGGAAAACTGTCAAAAATTATTAAAATTCTGATTTTGAAATAGAATGTATCTACAATCAACCTTTGTGTAATTGCTGTCCACTCATATACGGATATTGAAGGGATCAGGGATTAACAAGCCATCATAAATGTCAAAATAATTACTCACACACGATTTCCATCCTCGTATATGGCACACAAGTACATAGTTGCATAGATCGATACTTTATATATGTAGTCTTTTTCACCAGTATCCATTAAGGTAGAATAACAGCCGATATCTAGTAATATTTCAAAATTCCCCATATCAGCAAAGGACACAATTCTGACGGATCCGTCAATGCCAGGTACACAGAGCCATATTTTGTTTTGTTTTTTTGTACGCTACAGAAGACTACAAACAAGTTTTACTAGATTTACACTCGATTCATTATTGCCGACGTTGCAGGCTAACACGAAACTGTCACTTGCTGATCAGCTGTTCACCTCAGTAGACGTCAAAGCGTGATGGATACTCGAGAAATCGGTTAAAGGGTGTCCCTTTTCAATTTCTCCACCTAAATATTTCGATAACTACGTCCTAGAAAAAAGTTTCAAACAAAAGTTGTAGGGTTTAGAGACGACAAAATAGTAGTGACCTTAACAATGACCTTCACCACCTTCAAGGTCATATCCATGTTAAGCGAGTGTTTTCAAACGGAACCCGCATTTTTACACCGGAATTGGAAACAGGTGGAAATTCTGCAACCAAATATGATCTTGACCACAACCATACGAGTATAACCTTCAATGCCATTTCAAGGTCAAGTCAAAATGTTCAAAGGGAATCCCTCATTTTTATTCTGGAATTGGAAAAAGCAAAACATGTTACGCTCGAACGTGAATTTGACCTCGAAGTCGATATCACGTCAATCTTAAATATTGTTTGTAAGACAACACCTTGACTTTTATGCCAAATTTGTAGAGCAAGAAATTCTATATTTGAACGTTTAAAATTTTGACATGACCTTGAAGATGACAGACAAGGATATGATCAACGTCTTCTTTGGATGACCTCCACAAAGTTCACACCTGTACTGTTGAACATTTTTGCTACAGCAAATTATTTTTAATGTCTTGATTTGACCTTAAAAGGGCCTTGATGGTCGTAAAATGTTCTCCTCAAACCAAATCCGGTATAAAAAGGGGGATTAACAATTCAAAATATTCGCGTGATCTTTAAGGACGAGGTCAAGGTCATATCACTGTTCCCCTCGAAACCCTACAAATCTTTTCTATGATCCGTATGTATCACTATGACACGCGTGCGAATGGTGATTTTGACATTCATACAATGGATCGTCAGTCTCCGATTTCTTCGATAATTAAAGTATGAGACACGGTATATTTTATTATAGCTATAGGGTTGAAATTCAAACAGTAATTTTAACAAGAACATTATTTAAGACATTTAAAACTAAGATTAGTACAATGGTAATTGAATTTTGATAGACTGCTGTAACCCAGTGCCACTCTAACCCAAACAGGTATAGTATTTCTATTCCTAATTGAAACAGCAGAAAACCCAAGTTGGCACAGGAGTGGGTCAAGATTTCAGTATTTTTTAGTTAGCACCCCACTGATAACATAGAGAGATAGGAGGGTCACTATTTATAATTTGAGCCTAATAATGAAAAAAAAACTAAATTGTCATTGAAAATCACTTTACTGTTTTTCAAAATATTCTCCATTATGATCTATATACTTTTTTATGAGTTCGAACACATTTTCCACTCCGCTTGATATACAGCAGACGCTCGATAATGTAAACTAATTTAATCCAAGTGTGGTTCACATTCTCGAAATGTTTACATTAGCGAACGTGATTTATATAATATTTGATTTATTAAAAAAAACGTACAAATATTCTAACAGCGATAAGTATTTTTTTAATTAGAAGAAAAATAATTAACAATTTTTGTCTGCGTAAATTTGCGCTTAGCATTGTCTTCCAATGCCTGCGCCCGTAATTTACGAAGAACTAAAATATCCGTGTATGCAACTTCTTTTCTTTCAGCCCTATCTAAAGCTTGGTTAAAAACTTGTATAGCTTGCGCGTCAGTCACTACACTTCTGACTTCAATAGGATCGTTCTCATCATCCTCACTGTCCATATCCTCCTCCTTATCAGCATCATTCGTCTGCTTATCTTCGTTCCATAAATTAATATCAGCAGGAGTACAAACAATGTTGGGATTCACTGTTTTCAATAAAATATTTTTGGTTATTATATAAGGGAATACATGTGATTATTATTCAAGATATTTTATCTGCTCTTAACTAAGGGTTATAATATGAGGTATATCTACTCTCTTACTGACTCATGGCTACTACTCTTCTCAGATAGGATTTTAGATTCCATTGATATGGCTCTGAATGTTGGAGGAGCTTGTCCTTCCTCTTCTTCTGCTTCTATCTTATTGTACTCATCTAAGATAGTCTTAAAATACAGTTCCGTCTCATAGGTTGGTCCTAAGTATGCAGCTTCCATCTCTCCAACACGGAATTTACAAAGTTTGTCTCTAGTTGTTAAATAACTCCAGATTTGATCCCCCAAACGTTTTGCAACAGTATCAGAGTCAATGTAGAAATTTTCAAATGTAGGGTTTTCGAATCTTGCACACATGGTAGCCGCAATAGATGCTAAACGAAAATGACCTCTATTTAAGCTAGCAGTTTCTTCTTTGTCTCTTAATAAAGGGTGTCCCAAAATTAACGCAAGATTTGAATTAAATAGAAAATGCCATTTTTAGTCTTTTAATAGTTATATTTTTATTGACTCATAAAGTACATAGGATAGGGTTATGTATGGAATAACACATCGGACAAATGGCCTCCACGGCTTTGCATGCACATGCGCACTCTTTTGTCGAAATTTTCCATGACCCTTCTGCATAAATGTGGCTGAATTTCGTTGATGCAGCGTTGAATCTCCTCCTTTAATGCACGGGTGGTTGTGGGCTTGTTGACGTAGACTTGTGATTTCAAATAACCCCATAAAAAGAAGTCTAATGGTGTTAAATCACACGATCTAGGAGGCCAATTTTGATCACCGAAACGAGAGAGTACACGACCGGGAAATGTCTCATGCAGTAATTGAATTGTTTCACGGGCTGTATGACATGTGGCACCGTCTTGTTGAAACCACATATTGGGTACATCAATATCATTCAATTTTGGCAGAAAGAACTGTGTAATCATGTCGCGATATCGAGCACCAGTAACAGTCACTGCTTGACCAGCATAATTTTCAAAAAAATATGGCCCAATTATGCCTCCAGCCCAAAATCCACACCAGACAGTCACGCGTTGTGGGTGCATTTCTTTTTCGACAATCACACGTGGGTTCTCCGAACCCCAAATGCGGCAATTTTGGCGATTGACAAAGCCATCAAGATGAAAATGTGCTTCATCGCTTAGCATGATTTTGCTTGAAAAATCAGGGTCCATTTGTTGATTTTCAATAATCCATTCAACAAACTCTCTTCTCTCTGCATGGTCATTAAACTTCAATTGTTGTGTTAATTGAAGTTTGTAAGCATGAAGACACAGATCTTTGGTGAGTATACGCTGTAGAGAGGTTCTTGACATTTGCAATTCTTGTCCACGACGTCGAATTGAGGTTCCTGGATTGTCCGCAACACTCTCACGCACTGCTTCGATATTCACATTTGAACGGCTTGTTTTTGGACGACCAGTGTGTTTGGCGTCTCCAACGGATCCAGTCTCCATGAATTTTTCAATTAATCTCTTCACAGTTGACGAAGTTAAAACACTATTCCGGCCATATTTTGTATGAAATTTTCGAACTGCAGCCGCCAAGCTTTCACTATTTTTGAAATATTCTTTAATAATGAAGACACGTTGTTCTATCGTGTAACGCTCCATTTTTCATAACCCTATACTGTTAGCTGTCAAATTGCTTTTTTTCAGGGTTGCCAACACTTCACTGCACAAATGGCGGCAAATTCAAATCTTGCGTTAATTTTGGGACACCCTTTAGTTTTATGAACATCACATTGTTCTTGTCTTCCTTCTTAAGAGTCTTTAGAGCATTATTGTGATGTATTGAAATATCATTCAAGACAAACATTCCTTGAAGCTCTCTATATTTCTTAAAGAGATATGTGTCAATCAACACTAAATGATGGATTTCAGTTCCCTTCATTAGTTGTATCACATCTCGACATATAAGAGTCTCAGCAGTTACTTCATTCTGTTGAGATATCTCTAAAATGGTAAGAAAACAAGATTTCCTCAGTGCAAAATTTGCGGACATAAATGATTGAAGCATAGCAAGATACTTTGTTGTAGGTTTATTGCTAGTCCAGGCATATAATATATACGTAGTCGTGCCATAAGTTCTGTCCCATGATAATCTCATGATAAAAATGAAACAAGATAAGATATATTTATATGAAAGATATTATTTATTCGACAACATTTTTAGAATTCATAATCAAACAGTTTTATTCAAAATGTCCCCCCTTGGCCTTCACACACTGCTTCAATCTCGCGGGCCACTCATCTATCACTGCACGCACAGCTTCCAAAGGAATAGCTGCCGCTGATCGGATCAAATCCGCTTTCAGGGACTCGATATTACGGTGGGCTTTAGAGCAGGCCAACTGCTCTAGCAGGTCCCACAACTTGTAGTCTAAAGGATTGAGGTCCGGACTCCCTGAGGGCCAATCTTCCGCAGCAATGAACTCTGGCACATTGCTTTCCAGCCAGCGCTGCGTACTCTTAGCCTTGTGAGCGGGGGCGGAATCCTGCTGGTAGACCCAGTGTTGGTTGGCAAACAATGTACCACTTAAAGGCTTGACGATAGGATCCAGTATGTCGCTCTGATAGTTTGCCGCTTTTGTTTTCACGCCCTGTTTACAGAAATGGAGCTGAGTGACCCCTTCGTAGGACACCCCCCACCAAACCATGACTGACGCAGGGTGGTGGCCTCTCTCAACTCTCGGAATGATCTCCGAAGCTTCCTGTGAACTCCTTGCATACACTTTGTCATTTTGTCGGTTGAATTTTTCTTCTATGGTGAAGATTTTCTCATCCGTGAACAAAATCTTTCGGAATCCCCCAGCTGCGTACCTCTCCAAGAGCTTCTTGGATCTTGTCGCCCTGATGTGTCGCAAGGTGGCCGTAAGTCGCTGGCCCGTACGTCTCCGGTAAGCCCCTAGCCCTAGGTCTTGTTTAATGATGCGCGACATCGTCCGGACAGGAATCTTCATTTCCCTGGATAGGATCTTCTGCTTCCGGAGTGGATTCCTTTGAATCCTGGCTTTTACGGCTTTGATGGCTGCTGGAGTCCTTACTTGACGAGGTCTTCCGCTTCTTGGCCTGTCATCAACAGAGGACGTCTCATTGTACCGCTGAATGGTCCTAGACACAAATTTACGAGATATTTGAAGGCCGCGTAAGAGTTCAAAAATCTGACTAGCACTGTGATTACACTTATGTAAAGCTATCACTGCAATACGGTTCTCTGCCTTGCCCCACTCCATCGTTATGCTTCGAGAGATCAATACAAACTGAGGTATATGTAATTACCCGAAAAGCGCTTAATCAACTGACACCACAATGTAAACAATCGGACAAGTATTAACAGGTCTACACTTGTTTGAAAACGAGGGACAGAACTTATGGCATGACTACGTAATAATAATTATAATAATAATAATAATCATAATAATAATAATAATAATAATAATAATTATAATAATAATAATAATTATAGCAATAATTATGATAATAATAATGATAATAATAATACTAATAATAATAATTATAATAATAATAATGCTTATAATAATAATATTAACTATAATAATGGATAATAATCATAATAATAATAATAATAATAATTATAATTATAATAACAATAATCATAATAATTATAATAATAGTTATAATAATAATAAAAATAATAATAATAATAATAATAAGAATTATAATGATAATAATAACATAATAAGTATAATAATAATAATAATGATAATAATAATAATAGTAACTATAATTATAATAAGAATAATAATAATATAACAATCATAATAATAATAATAATTATTATTGTTATAATAATAATAATAGCTATAATAATAATATTAATATAATAATATTATAATGATAATGAATAATATATAATAAGTATAATTATAATAACAATAAGCATAATAATTATAATAATAGTTATAATAATAATTATTATTATTACAATAATAATAATAATAATTATATTATAATAATGGTTATAATAATATTAATAATAATAATCATAATAATAATTATAATAATAATAATAATAATCTTAATAATAATAATAATTATAATAATAATAATAGTTATAATAATAATAATAATTATAATAATAATAATAATAATAATTACAATTATAATTATAATTATAGTAATAATAATAATAATCATAATATTAATAATAATAATACCATACCATACCATACCATACGATTTATTGACCACCTATACATATAGATACATGTTTGAAGTCACAAACTAGATAAAGTTTATACAGAGTCTGTCTTCTTGCTCTACACACGATCACTGATCACTAGGATCACATGCACTTAAATATTAACTTACAGTAATTAAGTATTCGCTTACAGTATAGAAGCAGTTTTGTAACAAATAGTTTTTGACAAACCTAGAGAACTGTTTGTTAGACATCTTCTCAATATTAGACCGCTTATGATATCTAACAAAGTTATTGTAAAGCGACACATTAATCTTGTTGTTTTGTGTCATGGCGATCCTAGATTGCGGTAATGATATATCATTAGCGTATCTTGTATTATAGCTGTGTGTCTCTGATCTTATCGAAAAAGTACTCAGGTTTGCGTGAACATGTAAAAGGGTCTCAT